ATGATTGTAGTTTGCTTCATTGAGTTGTTTGGCGTTGTATCCTTTCCAACAGTCGAAATAAATGGTGCTTCCCTCTTCTACATTGTTTGTAATGGCTTCTAATAAAGTTGTTGCTTTTCTATCGTTTATTTTAACGATAAAACACTCGTCTGTTTCTCGGCAAACTCTGCTAAACATCCATTGCTCAGGTAGGACTCTCCCCACATGATTTTTTCTTTTCGAAAAAAGACTCGTCTACTTCGACAACTTTGCCAGGCCCTCCAATTTTTTTATTCGACCTGTATAACATGTCATGGACACAAATTTCTCTTAAAAATTTGTTCCATGCTTCGACAGTTCCGATGGATAGTTTGACCTGCTCTTTCTCCCACTGTATTGTAGTTAAATTATGGGACCACCCATAAATGAATTTTAAAGCCGTTAAAAAAGAAATCCTTGACCCCTCTAACCACGTTCCTTTCCTTATAGAAACGGTTTTGTTACACCTACGAAAGCATCTCCATTTAATCTTCCCGTCGAACTTCATTTTATGACCCTCATCACAATATTTCACCTTATCAAATATACCGGCGTCTTGAAAATATTTGATAGCCTCTTCTTCTGAAGACGGCAATTCCCACAATGTGACAAGATCCATAATTAAATAAACTCACACCTGGCACAAGAAACGAAAACTAAACAACAGAATAACTTAAGGTACTATTTCGCTGGCGCGGTCCACGACCGCGACTGCTCGCGGTTGACCACTGTTTTAGTGGAATAGAAAGGAGCCTATTTCGCTGGCGCTGCTCGGCAGTTTAGGTATGACGTCATATCTAAGCTGCTCGTATCTGACTCCTCTTGAAGCAGTGGAACTGTTGGCGGTTCGGCGGTTGTAGGTTATGTTATCATATCAGAGCATTGTTTTTATGATAACAGTCCCGTCGATACGTTTTATTTCCTGTTTCTTTCAAGTCTGGCAACATTATAACAAATATTGTTTAAAACTGAAACAATGCAATAGTAAATTATTTTTTTGAGGTTGAAGTAACAAGATTATTTATTTATTTATTCCACCAGCAATATTTTACAGCGAAATACAAATATACCTAAATCCAAATATATTAAATAAATTAAAGAATCTAACAAATTTTATCATCAGGTAAATACTAAAATCCACCCATTGAAAAAACGATTTGTATTTTTTAATTAAAGTGGTGATTTACTGATTATTATTGATAAAACTATAAAACATCGCTTGCTGAGATTTAATTACAAATATATGATATTTATTACTAACCAATTATGTATTAATTACTATTATTTTTCAAACTAATAATATGTAATATCAGAGGAACTTTGATGATGAGCATCACATCGAAATACTGATATTCCTTCTCTTTATGAACAACATTTTCTCTTCTTTTTCCAACTCAAATAAAAAAGCGGTAGTCAGAGATGTTCATTATTATAGGAAATTCATTTTTATTCTTATATTATGTCCATCTTTTTATCTTCGAAGATACAGCGAAATGTTCGAAGGTAATAGGCAGGTTATAACAACACCAGTGAGCAGTTTCAGCGAAATAGGTACGCCAACAGCGGTTGACAGGGGGGAATAGCGGTCGCTGTCGTCGACCGCGCCAGCCAAATAGTACCTTTAGGTTAGATGAGATAAGGGAGGTTATCTGAAATGAGATTAGATAAGAAGGGAGGTTTTGACGCTACCCGCTACTGGATAAGTACCTTTTTTTTTATCTTGCTCTCCCCTTCCATTAATTTGGTCAAATGCCGATATTCCAAAGACAAATATATCACCTTATTTTATCGAGATTTTCGACCTAAGAATTTCACTTTGAATGTTATTTTTATTGCTAATAATTGCGTCAAGGGATCAACATAAACATAAATATGAGTAAAGATCGACATTTCAGCCTTATAACCTTATTTTATTGAGATTGGTAGAGTTTGACAAATCTTTATTTATTTTTTTTTTCTTGCCCTCCTAACTTCGGCAAATACCGATATTCCAAAGACCAATATATCGGCCTTACGACCTTATTTTATCGGGATTCTTAGAATTTTACTTTGAATATTATTTTTATTGCTAGTAAATGCCGATATATCGTCCTTAAGACCTTATTTAATCGAGATTCTAAAAATTTTACCTTGAATATGTATATATTTCCTTGGAATATCAAGACAATATTTCCTTGGCACTTTCCTTTATCAAATCATTACCGATCATCGTCCTTCTTATGCCTACAACCTTCTCCAATTTAAGTCCTCAATCCATTCTCTCACTACAAGATCCCGACCCTCTGACCTATACATCCCTTCTCATAGATCTGCCTCATTCCAAAATTCCTTTATAGCCCGCTCTGTCAACTTTTGGAATTCCCTCCCGATCAAAATTCGACATGCCCCTTCCCTGTATACATTCAAAAACCTCCTATTCCAATTCCTGTTCCAAAAACAGTCTGATACCAGCTAACTATTGATATTATATATGTATTGAGTAGCAATCATATAATCATAACACTTGGTAATAGATAGTACATGCATTTCCTACTATCGACGTAGGAATTTCAATACATACATTTTTTTTTATATATATATTTTTTTTTATTCAATTATAAGTAACTGTTTATTTTTATATATATATTCAAGTAAAGTTTTTTTTTTTTTTTTTTTATGAAATGAACTCATTGTATCTCTTTTTCGTTCTTCATTTCTCAAAGTGTATGTTTATGTTGTTCAACCCTTAAATATAATTTTGTTCATAGTTCAAGTGATTCGTTCATAGTTTTAATTGTTTTGTTCATAATTTTAAATGCTCTGTGCATAGTTTTATCTGTTTGTATATAGCTTGTGCACCTAAGATTTTCTTTACTTTTTATTTTATTTTATCAATTTTATTTATTGTTTCAACGTTCAGGCCAGTAATATTCTATTATTTTGTACATTATTGTTATTCTGAAGGGACTTAGTCCCAGAATAAAGTTTTTTTTCTATCTATCTATCTATATTGATTCCTTGGCGATTGATTGGCCAATTTTTTATTGGCATAAATAATATTTCACATGAAACTCTATTAATTATGATAAAATAAGGTCAAAAGGCTGATATATCGGTCTATAGGATGGACCAAAAAACATTAGGAATAAGACAAGCTCAAAATTAAAATATATATATAACTATTAATCTCGATAAAATTAAATCTTAAGGTTGATATATCGGTCTTTACTCACATTTATATTTATATCGATTCCATGGTAATTGATTGGCCCATTTATTACGAGTATAAATAATATTCCATGTGGAACTCTATGAATTATGATAAAATAAAGTCAAAAGGGCTATATATTGGTCTGTACTCACATTTATGTTCATATCGATTCCATGGCGATCGATTGGCCCATTTATTATCAGTATAAATAATATTCCATGTGGAACTCTATGAATTATGATAAAATAAAGTCAAAAGGGCTATATATTGGCCGACATGGGTTGGACCGAAAAACATTTGGAAGAAGACAAGCAAAAAATCAAAAAAAAAAATCGAGATAGGTAGAGTTTGATAATATTTTTATTTTTTAAAATAAAATCTTGAGGCTAACGTTTAAGCTCAGCACTGCTGTTGCCCAGCTACCTGATATATGAGATAATTTTATACAAATAGTTACAAGTTCGCGTGCTTGTGCCATAGGGAGAATTTTAATTCTGGCATCAACGCCTTGCCCCCCCCCTCCCGCCCTGGGAAAACGCCTTATAGTCTAAAATGCGAGGAAGCGGTGGACCCTGAAAAAAAAACAAAAAAACAATTTGAGAGGCCGATTTATCTCTCTTCACCCAAATTTATATTTATGTCAATACCTTTGAAATTGATTGACACATTTATTAGGAAAACAAATAATATTTATTCCATTTAAAACTCTATGAATCATGATAAAATATCTTTTAATGGTCGAAATTAGTGTATAGGCCGATGCGTTGGTGGTCTATTTATTGTTTTATTTAGCAATAAGTGGGGTATTCCATGTGAAACTACAAATCTTGACGGAAAAGCGAAAAAAAAGGCCGATATAAATAAATTTCTCTCGACCAATATCTTTTAATGGTTGAAATTTGTGTATAGGCCGCTGCTTAGATGGTCTGTTTATTCTTTTATTTAGCAATAAGTGGGGTATTCCCTGTGAAACTGAATTACAACAAATCAAAAATCACATAAACTTATTAAAATTGAACGTTAATATGATTGATATTAGTCATTTGGAGGTATCTCGGAGATATGAAAATTTATTTCCTGAATCATCTTTATCAGTATAAGATTTTCATTCATTTTTTTCTAATTTAAAGTTTGTCTGGTTGCTTGAATCCACTGAGATGTTTAGTAAGATTTTGTGTGACTCTTCTTGGAAGTCTCAAAGTTTATATGAACTATTTCCCAAATGTTCCGTTTATGAGGTAATTTTAGTCAATATTTCAAAACATTAAAAATCCTTAATGCTAAAACCACCCTTGGAAACTGTCAGCCAATTTTTTTTCTTTTACTTAAATGGTGAGATCTTCCATATTAACGATTAAAACCCAACCCTCTGCTGCTTATAAGGTAATAAAATAATTGCTTGCTCCCATAATAAAAAGGAAGTGAATGTTCAGAACTATTAACTCTCATACTAGTTCTTACTACTACTAGTATTTCCTTGAATTTTCTGGATTCTTCTCAACTGTGACTAGTTGTTGCTATGTAAAACTATTAATGTTTATTAACACATAAAGGTAGCCATTAGTAACTAGTTTCTATTTGCTTCACACAATGTTCTAATAAAGTGGTTGTACTAAATATTTAGAGTCCCAGCTTAATGGCTTTGACTATGTATATTTTAATTACTTTTTTTTGTTGATTGTATTTCTAATTTTGAGTATATTGCTCACTTATTTTTGACCTACTTTTTTAATCTTGATATAAATTCAAATTAATTTTATGATAATAATTTTTGTTTCATTATTTTTTTCAGACTTGGAAAATTGATACAGCCACCTCAAGTTGCTGATGATTTAGATTGGGTATCAAGGTACTGGTGTAATAAAAAAACCGATAATCATAATTTTAAAGACGTGCCTCGTGTCCAAAGGTACTGCTTAATTAGCCCGATTAATGCCTTCACAGATTTTCATATAGATTTTGGTGGAACTTCAGTCTGGTATCATGTGGTAAAGGTGAGTGCTTAACATTCTTTTTTTATATCATAACTTAATGGCTAATGTTTTTTGCATTTAAAATGAAAAATGTAACAATTACATTTTTACTAACTTCGTTATTTCATTTTTCTTCAACTTTTAGGACTGAATGTGCCTGACAGTCATATTGTTACTACTTTCACTTACTTGTATATGTAATATATAGTGAGAGCAAGTATTGCGATCGTGAACATTTTCTAATCTACGTTTTCAATAGAAATACACGTTTTGAGGTTCCCTGAGTCCAAATAACCTAGTCCCACAAAATATAAATTAACAATAATAAAAAACCAAAATTTACTAGGCAATCTATAAAAAATTAACAATTTTTTTTTACGGACTTTTCCACTACTGCGGTTGTCCTTGGCCTAAATATTCTTTAAGATATTTTTCCAAACCAGCATAAACTTTTCTTTTCAATATTTACTATAATGTTTTTTTCCACCTCCATCATTTCCAGAATTATTTCATTTTTGATCCTTTCCCTTCTGGATTTTCTTGCTGCCCTTCTCCAAAAGTCCATCTCTACCACTAACAGTCTGTTTTGGTGTCTTGCATTGACGACCCAAGTCTCCGAGGCATATGTCATAATTGTCTCGAATATAGCCTTGTATATTAGCCTCTCAGTACTGGGCTGTATATTCGAGCTCCATAGGATATTGTTGGGTATTACAATGACCTTTCTTCCTTCACCAATTCTTCTGTCGATATCATTGGTGGATGTGCCTTCTCTATTAAATTCCTATCCTAGGTATTTAAATTTCTCAACATTTTTTGTACCTCTTTCAATTGGTGTGCCATCAGATGAAGTGCCAAGGTGCTCTATTTTCATGAAGTTAAAAGTCAACCCCACTTTTCATATCTTTCGACAACCTTTCTGAACATATAATTGATGTCTCCTCTCTATCCTGGGCTATGATTACTTTGTCATCAGCAAACATTAGGTTTATGGTACATAAATTTTCCTCAATCCTTATTCCCATTTTTCCACATTTTCTTTTCCACTCGCTGAGAGCCACATCAACATAAATTTTAAAAAGGGTAGGTGAAAGGCAGTATCCCTAAATTTTAAAAAGGGTAGGCGAAAGGCAGTATCCCTGCAAAAGTCCTTTTGAGGTCTGGAATTTTTCAGAGACTTTACCCTAGTTCAACATAGCAGGCATTATTGTGGAGTTTACTTCTTTTAAGTGTATCAGGCAGACCAGAAGGAAACTGAAAACTGTATTAAAAACATCTTGGGTCAGGCTATGCATCTCATTTCAAGGACCATTTTGAAAAATGTTCTTACTCTCATAAAAATAGCACCCTAAAACTATTATCACACTTAAAGGGAAACTAATGGATTTCTTCAAATCTATAGATCATGAAAAAAAAACAAAAAAAACAATGGAAAATAACGTTTATGCCTGAATGTCCATAATACTCAATTCGAGTATAGGATCTGCCCTCATTAAATTAGTAGCAACTAACGAAAACAAGACATAGGGGTGTGGGAAGCTCATCTAGACAATAGTTTTATTTTTAGTCCTCAATAGACAATCAAGAGAGGAGGACCTCATTAATTAGGTGATAATATATTTAAATTAAATAGGTTTTTTATTGAATGTATTTAATTGTTAAATTTGTATTCATTTTATAAATTGTTTGGAAAATTTGATATTTATTGTTGCTAGTTTTTATATTTTATTTAACCTAATGCAGGACCAAAACCGGTAGCAAAAAAAAAATTAACAATTATATACACGAGGACAATGTCTTTTTATTGAATTTTATTTCACTCTTGTAACATCAAGCATCAATTCAAGAAAAAATATATGTACTAAAAGTATATACTAATTATAAGGAAGTTATATTTTTTTTTAGAAAAGTCATCTTTATTCTGGGACTAGGTCCCTGTAGAATAACAGTATTGTTCATATAAATTAACGATAAATCTGGCCAAAAGACTTATTACAATGAATAATAACAAAATACTAGTAATAAATTAAGTATTAATTAAGCTCTTAGGATAAATTAACGAGAACAGTTGGGTAATAGTTTATTTATATTATATACCCCAATGAAACAAGAAACTTCCCAACCAATGAAAAAAAAAAAATATTATTTTGTTTAGTAGTCACTTCCTCTATATTATATTACTTATGGTTCATTATCATGATAGGAAAACGTGGATAGAGATAAAAAATTTAAAAAAGTTATATGAAGTATAATCTCCTGCCTGAGAGCAACATAAATTTATGCAATATAAATTTATCTATATCATTTTCATTCACTATTTTGAGAGCAGGTATAAAGCTATTCCTTCGAAATATTTTATGGAAAATCTTATCCAGTAAACATTCTGAAATTTGATTCTGTTTTTGATAATTTTATATAATTATTTTTGTTAATGTTTATCAATAAAAATTCTGTCTACTTATATTTTGTTTTATCATAATTAATATTCAGGGCCCATCGTTCATAATGTTTGGTTAATTTTCTAAACATATACCTGATATCAAATTCATTCTGCACTGAATTAATTTTATATATACAATATAAAATGCAATTTTGAAAACAGAATAACATATAAACAAGATGTAATTTTTTTTTTTTAATTTTGAGTATTGATGATAGATTGAAAACAATTATTATAATTTTTTGCCTGTAATTAGTTAAATAAAAATAATAGCAATATAATAATATTTATTTTAATATAAACACATTAATTGAGGTGAAATATTTTAGTTTAACTACTTGTTCATCTTAAAAAAACAATCTCATGTGTACAAAAATTTATTTGAGATAGATCGATGGATGGATACTGTGCACTGACCTAGAGAACACATTATGCAGAGCACAAGTGTATGTGCACCATGAGTTTTACAACATTAAGGATACTAATAATTTCATTTTACTAGTGCCATATTCACCATCTAAATTCTAAGTTTTATGACTCCTTGTGGTATAAAATCATTTTTTAAATTTTCCCTTTTAAATAATTAATTTTATCTTTTACTTACATTTCAGGGAGCCAAAATATTTTATTTGATTCGCCCCACACTGGACAATTTAAATCTTTATGGTAACTGGTTGGATTCAGTTAACCGGCTTAGAACTTTCTTCGCAGACCAGGTAACTTAATTTATTTATTTTTGTATTAATTTAAATTTGTTGTAAGATATTTAAAAAAAATGACTAAATTTGATGGAATTTTTCTTGATGCCTTACCAAAGCACAGCCTATTTGGTCTGTTGTGCAAATGACTATGGTTATTAGATAGTATTTTTTTGTGTATTCTACAAATCTTCCTAAGCTTCAGTAGGTTGGCATGCTCATACTGTCCAGGGTTTGCTCTCCAGTCATTGATTAAGATTGCGAACCTGCACAAAGGGCTCTCTGGCAGTTTGAGATATTTCATATGCTTGTTGAGTTTACAGTGACCAGTATATTGTCCTGTTTCTTGCTGTAATTTGATACTGTCCATTTGATGCAATATTTTGCTTATTTTTTTCTCATGGTCCATCTAGGATTATCTTAGAATGTTTCTGGGATTTTTTCTGGCTTTATCACCATCACTCACCTTAGTCCCTCTTTTAGTATAGCTTGGGCTTATAGTCCAGAAGTCCTTGTACAAAAAGGTGTTTTATTTCATACTAAGTTTTGACCATATAAATTGACCAGGTACATAGCCCTCAAAAGAAAAATGCACGCCTGCCATCATATAGCCACTGGAATAGAAAATGGCTGCCAGGTGAATACGATATTATGTCCTTAAAATATTTTTCCAGAAACCGAAGGATTCTTGATGGCTATCCAAGATCAGGTAATAGCCAATAGGGCGTATAGAAAGCATATTTGTGGATATATATAATATAAATGCCTTATGCCGCCTATGCAAAAAATCAGTGGAGTCGATTCAGCATATAACTTCTGGATGCCCAATAATGGCGGGTAAAGAATATTTTCTAAGGCATAACATTGCAGCTAAAGTAGTACATCAAGCCATGGCTCAGAAGCTGGAACTGAGGGATAACTATTATCCCTATTACAAATATCATCCTGAATCAATCATCTCCAAGTGTAATATCTTACTATTCTGAGATCAGCCTATACTTACAGATCACACTGTCCCACACAGTAGGCCTGATATTCTAATAATTGATAAAAAAAAGAAAATAGCGTGTCTATTATAGAAATTGGAGTTCCTTCAGACGATGATCTGCACAAAGTAGTGGTGATGAAAAAAAAGAAGTGAAATATGTAGAATTGGCGGAGGAATTAGAACAACTGTATGATTTAAAGGAAAGCCGGATTTTACTGTTAGTAATTTCATGTCATGGGTTAATACCAGAAGAATCTCAATCTTTGCATGTGCTGGACTTGCCATTTGTGACAATGAAAAAAAAAAAATTAATTCCTCAACTATATATTTCATTGACAGTTTGTGGTTCCTCACCACCTCTCCATGAGAATTAATTAAATTATAAACTATTATGAGCTACGAGGCTGTAGTAAACAACTTACGTTGTATAGGATTAAGCCCAGCTCTTGTCTTACGGATCATTACATCCGTTCTTATTTTTGTAAGTACAATTTATTTACATTATATCAATATGATGGCTCATTGCCCGATATGCAGCAGCACCATCGCTAGAGACGAAAAAAATATTTTATGTTGCACTAAGTGCAAACTGTTATTTCACAACAGGTGCTGTAAAATTAGCGATAAAGACTTTGAGGCTCAAAAATCCTCAAAAAAAAAGCTTGGTTTTGTGCTAGTTGCAATCAGGCTAAAAAGGGTATGGCAGGCAGTGAAAACATCGATCAAAATCGAACTGGTCAGAAATTCTGGAGGCAGTACAGCGGCTTGATAAATAAGTGAATGAATAGATAAAAAATATTAAATCTGCGCTTAACAAATAATGAGACCTCGCCTTCGAATTAAACACAAGATTAAATAAAATTTAAAATCATTGGGAGGGACAAGCAAAGTACCTAGAAAGGAAAGATTATAAGGGATTTCTCGACGCGGGAAATAGGTTGGCAGGAAAATGACTGTTACCGTATCTATTTGAGCAAGGAGATGACCCTGATCAATAGGCACATATGCTGGCTCAATCGACAGCCGTTCGAAAACAGCAGAAAAAATAAAGTACACCTGGTTTGCTGCTGTCAGGTACCGAAAAGAATACTTCAGCTGATGGCTCGAATTTTGTTTACCTTCCAGCATCGATCAACATTTGGCAAGCAAACCGGACTTTCATCGGCTATCTTACCATTGTTACTCACTGATTAATTTATTTCCTGACTTCTTTTATTTTATTATATCATCATGTTTAAGGTATCTACTTTATTCCAGCGTCTCCCTATCAAATATCGATTGTACTTTCCTAAATCCTACTCATGTCTTGTGTCCTAACCACCTGTCACGTCAACTCCCAATCCCTTCCAGCTCATTACGATGAATTCCTAGATTATTTTACCCAAAACTTTTACCACATCATTACGATTTCCGAAACCTGGCTAATACGAGCCGTTCCCACTACTAATCTGCCACGACTGAGACTCGGTGGAGGTATAGCTATGTACTTTCATGAAAGCCTGAAGACCTTAATTCTCCTTTGTTCCACTCCATCCGATCAGCCTCAAGTCCAGTGCCTAATTGTCGAGATCTCATGTAACACCTCTTCTCTCCTCTATACTGTAGTATATCATCCTCCTCTTCCATTTGATCCATCCTTCGAATCATCCCTCTTTAACTTTGTTCCTCTTTATTCCAAAATTATCATTTCTGGTGACTTAAATATTAATTTCCTTTCCGACTTCAGCAATAAATCATATCTCGAAAATCTTTTTTTCTCTCTTCAACCTATTTACCGTTCCTTTTTCTCCTACTCATCACACCGCCAGGTCCGATCTTGGTTGGACCTGTACATTATTGACTCCGCTTAGAGCTTCCTTTTCTCTTCCCAATTACCGGTCTCCTTTTTATCGTCGCATGATCAAATCCAAACAACTTACAATATCCACACTCCACCGATCATACCTAGAACCATAACATTCCATAACCTTAATGACCTAACTCGAGAAAAAATCTTACCCTGCCTGGAAATCATAGATTGGAGTAGATTATATTCCTATTCCACAATTGATGCCATGGTGGATGTCCTCATTTCCAAGCTTCTTAATATCCTTGAAGCCCACGCCTCTCTCAAAACCTCTACCTTTCATCTCCGTCTCGCTCCCTGGATGTGTCAGCAAATTAAGGATCTCCAGAAGAGGCGTGATGCTGCCCGTAGACGCTTTAGACATACTAGGCTGGCCAACCACTATCAAGCGTTTAGGGTGCCCCACAACTTGACACAAACCACAAACCGACGTACCAAATCGACCTATTTCCATGAAGCCCTTTCCAAATCCAAATGGCTACTCCTTCGTAAACTCTCCCTCTGTGAATCTTCCAGGTCCCCTTCCTCAGCAGTATTTCCAGTTTTCACCAGATGATTTAAACTCATGTTTTATATCTGCTTCCTCTTCCACTCCTCCTTTTACTGCTTCCTCTTCCACTCCTCCTTTTACTGCTTCCTTCTCTTCTCCTGGTACATCCTTCAACGATAACAACTTTCACTTTTCATACATCTTGCTCACAGACCTCATATCCGCCGTGATGAAATCACATTCCAATTCTATTGGTCTAGATGGCATTCTGACCAAATTAATCAAATTATGCCTTCCTGAATTCCTTCCTGTTCTTCTATTTGTATTTGATTTCTCCCTCCAAATTCAGTACTTCCTACCTCATGAAATAAAGCCACCATTCGTCCTTTCAACAAAAATTCTAACCCTTCTTCCCCCAAAGGTTTCAATCCTTTTCAACCTTTTAAAATCCCTGGAAAGAATAATGCAATCCCAAGTTTCCAACTTCCTTGAACATTCCAATCAACTCGACCCTTTTCAATCTGGTTTTCAACCAGGTTACTCCACACAATCCGCTATTAAAAATTATTAGTGATATTCAGTTCGCTATAGGTGATAAAAAACTAACTTTCCTCGTACTCCTTGACTTTTCGAAAGCCTTCGATACCATTAACCATTCCATCCTCTTTTCTAAATTAAAATCATTATCCCTTTCCAACAGCGCTATTCTTTGGTTTCAGTCTTTCCTCTCTCAACATTCACAAGCTGATGCTATCCCTAATCAACCCTTGTCTGCCTATCTTACTCTATCCTCAGGAGTGGCTCTGGGCTCTAGCATATCTCCTCTTCCTTTTAGTTCCTATATCAACGACCTCCATAAATCAATCCTCCACTGTTCCCATCACCTCTATGCCGATGATTTCCAAATTTACCTTTCCTTCTCTCCCTCTGAGTTGTATGATGCATTTGCCAAAACCCAAGAAGATCTTAATCGCATCAGCGCCTGGGCATACTTTAATGGATTAAGATTAAATACTGATAAAACTTAGGCCATTATCATTGGTTCCAAACCCCTCCTCAAATCCAATACCAACATTCCTAATCTGTATCTAAATAACAATCTCATCACCTTCTTTTCCTCAGTTAAAAACCTAGGCATTTTCATTGACCACATCTCTTGATGGTCAATTTGTACCCTCACACTATTCCTTCACTTCCGACATCTACCTATATCCACACGTAGACTCCTAGTAAGTATCCTCCCTCATCTTCCCCCACCTTGACTACTGCTGCGTGGTGTACGGAGGCCTCTCAGTGGAACTCGGCGACAGACTAAAAAGAATTATGAATAGCTTAGTAAGATTTGTTGAAGAGATCCCGAGACATTTCCGTGTTTCCCACTACTATGCCCAGTTAGGGTGGTTCTTCCCCTCCTTCAGAAGACAATACTTCCTTGGCACATTCCTTTACCAAATAATCAACAATCATCCGTCCGTCCTATGTATACAATCTCCTCCAATTTAAATTATCTATCCACTCCCTCTTCACAAGATCTCGTCCTTCTGCCCTTTACACCCCTTTCAATAGGTCTTTTTCATTTCAACATTAATTTATTGTCCGCTTTACCACCTTTTGAAATTCCATCCCACTTAAAATCCGCTATGCCCCTCTCCCTCCTTATCCACATTCAAAACCCTCTTATTCCAATTCCTCTT